CTCTGCTGTTGTTTACACCAAAATGTGCAAGCGGTTTGATGGCGGTTAATAGGTCTTTATTTTCATTGCTAGGTTCCAAAAATCATTAAATCGATGAAAAGATTCATTAAATCGTCTCAAAGACTAGCCAGAAACCATCTACAGTGTCAAAACATATATGTGCAAAACTTCAGCTCGGTTGATTAAGGCGCAAGTCTATAAAAAACATACGGTCCTGAGGTGCACAAACTTTAACTTTTATACATAGAATGTAAATGACTGTGTTGCGCTCTAGTGACCAAACGTTAAGTCTTCTGTCCACCGTTTTTACCGTGGACTTTTACCAAAGAGTGTATCGTGTTGATTACTGATGTAGGGGCTGTCCTAAAAGTCTCTGCTGTCTAGTCGTTTATTTCTCCATTGCCTCGATGTTGTCTCAACATTACCGTGCGTTGATGTGCGACTACTGCCAAAGTTGTAACCTCAATGTGGAAAAAACAATCGGGGCTTTTACAAGAGCATTTTGGGGCTAGTATGGAATAGGAGAAGGTAGAAGGGAGAAGTTGGAGCTGGTTACTATCTGACCGTTTAAGTTGTTTGAAAAAAAAACAACTCGATTCAGTGCTAATGCGCTGCTCGCAACACTTAGCGGCGCGCACTTTAGTGTAATGAGTTTTATGACTAAGAGTATCAAGTACACTAAACACATTAGTTTTTTGTCATTTTCAAACAAACGTTTTTTCTCACTGCAGCTTTTTCTGCCCAGGAAAGGGGTTGCTTTATTTACAGGACAAATACTGCCGGATTCAAAATCGCACCAGAATACAGCTACCAAAGAATCGTGATCGTAAATCTAGCAGGTGAGAATCTAATGTCCCTCCCGTGTTTGTTACCCTGTCATGCTTTAGGTGGAATATCAACGCTGAAAAAAACCATCAAAAGTTTTGAAACTGGCTTTGAATTTGCCTTTTCTAGGAGGTGACTTTACCAATATTGTGGACGGACGCGGAGAAGTTATCGAAGTGATTCAACCATACTCATACAGAGCGAATGCTGAAAAGATACACAAAGCAATCTTGAAAGCTTTCGAATCAAAGTAATATTTCACTCATGATGAGCTTATGGATAACGGAAGTACACTGAGAAAATCAAAAAAAACAACTTGGACATTCTTCTTTGTCCTAAAAACAACAAGCAATTATTGTACTGACAGTGATTCATTCGTTTTTGAATTTATGCTAACAACTCACTAACTAACAATCAACTTATTATATACCTACGTGCCCTTCGGCCTCCCTTTTCTAAAATTGTAACTATTCTTTGAAGAAAAGCACTAAAGATTGGCTTTTTGGTAATAGACATACATGCAGATACAAGACGATATATTAGATTGAACCAAAAGTTCGTTCGCACAATTTT